TTGGAGCAGCTGGTACGGGAACCCACAAGGGGAGAGGCAACTCTAGATTTAGTCCTGAGTGGAGTGCAGGAGTTGGTCCAAGAGGCAATAATAACAAGACCGCTTGGAAATAGTGACCATAATATAATAACATTTAACATCCCAGTAGTGGGAAGAACATCTCAACAGCCCAACACTGTGGCATTTAATTTCAAAAAGGGGAACTATGCAAAAATGAGGAGATTAGTTAAACAGAAATTAAAAGGTGGTGACTAAAGTGAAATCCCTGCAAGCTGCATGGGTGCTTTTTAAAAGACACCATAATAGAGGCCCAACTTAAATGTATGCCCCAAATTAAGAAACACGGTAAAAAAAACTAAAAAAGAGCCACCATGGCTTAACAACCATGCAAAAGAAGCAGTAAGAGATAAAAAGACTTCCTTTAAAAAGTGGAAGTCAAATCCTAGCGAGGTAAATAGAAAGGAGCATAAACACTGCCAAATTAAGTGTAAAAATGTAATAAGAAAAGCCAAAGAGGAGTTTGAAGAACGGCTAGCCAAAAACTCAAAAGGTAATAACAAAATGTTTTTTAAGTACATCAGAAGCAGGAAGCCTGCTAAACAACCAGTGGGGCCCCTCGATGATAGAGATAGAAAAGGAGCGCTTAAAGACGATAAAGTCATTGCGGAGAAACTAAACGAATTATTTGCTTCAGTCTTCAGGGCTGAGGATGTTAGGGAGATTCCCAAACCTGAGCAATCCTTTGTAGGTGACAAATCTGAGGAACTGTCACAGCTTGAAGTGTCACAAGAGGAAGTTTTGGAATTAATTGATAAACTAAACAGTAACAAGTCACCAGGACCGGATGGCATTCACCCAAGAGTTCTGAAAGAACTCAAATGTGAAATTGCGGAACTATTAACTAGGGTTTGTAACCTGTCCTTTAAATCGGCTTCTGTACCCAACGATTGGAAGATAGCTAATGTAACGCCAATATTTAAAAAGGGCTCTAGAGGTGATCCCAGCAATTACAGACCGGTAAGTCTAACGTCGATACCGGGCAAATTAGTCGAAACAATAGTAAAGAATAAAATTGTCAGACACATAGAAGAACATAAATTGTTGGGCAAAAGTCAATGTGGTTTCTGTAAAGGGAAATCGTGTCTTACTAATCTATTAGAGTTCTTTGAAGGGGTCAACAAACGTGGACAAGGGGGATCCAGTAGACAGTGTATTTAGATTTCCAGAAAGCCTTTGACAAGGTCCCTCACCAAAGGCTCATACATAAATTAAGTTGTCATGGGATAAAAGGGAAGGTCCTTTCATGGATTGAGAACTGGTTAAAAGATAGGGAACAAAGGGTAGGAATTAATGGTAAATTCTCAGAATGGAGAGGGGTAACTAGTGGTGTTCCCCAAGGGTCAGTCCTAGGACCAATCCTCAGGGCCGCCCAGAGGGGAGGGGCAAGTGGGGCAATTTGCCCCAGGTCTCAAAGGGGCCCCCATGAGAATATAGTATTCTGTGGTATTGCAACTTTTTTTTTATGGAAGGGGCCCCCAAAATTGCTTTGCCCCAGGGCCCACGAATTCTCTGGGCAGCCCTGCCAATCCTATTCAACTTATTCATAAATGATTTGGAGAAAGGGGTAAAAAGTGAGGTGGCAAAGTTTGCAGATGATACTAAACTGCTCAAAATAGTTAAGACCAAAGCAGACTGTGAAGAACTTCAAAAAGATCTCACAAAACTAAATGATTGGGCAATAAAATGGCAAATGAAATGTAATGTGGATAAATGTAAAGTAATGCAAATTGGAAATATAACCCCAACTATACATACAACATGGGGGCTAATTTAGCTACAACAAATCAGGAAAAAGATCTTGGAGTCATCGTGGATAGTTCTCTGAAGTTGTCCACGTAGTGTGCAGAGGCGGTAAAAAAAGCGAACAGGATGTTAGGAATCATTAAAAAGGGGATAGAGAATAGGATGGAGAATATATTATTGCCCTTATATAAATCAATGGTACACCCACATCTTGAATACTGCGTACTGATGTGGTCTCCTCATCTCAAAAAAGATATATTGGCACTAGAAAAGGTTCGGAGAAGAGCAACTAAAATGATTAGGGTTTTGGAGAGGGTCCCATATGAGGAGAGATTAAAGAGGCTAGGACTTTTCAGCTTGGAAAAGAGGAGACTAAGGGGGGATATGATAGAGGTATATAAAATTATGAGTGATGTAGAGAAAATAGATAAGGAAAAGTTATTTACTTATTCCCATAATACAAGAACTAGGGGTAACCAAATGAAATTAATAGATGTCCTATATTGGACAAATTAATAAAACAAATAAAAGGAAGTTCTTCTTCACACAACGCACAGTCAACTTGTGGAATTCCTTACCTAAGGAGGTTGTGAAGGCTAGGACTATAACAGCGTTTATGAGAGAAATGGATAAATTCATGGAGGTTAAGTCTATTAATGGCTATTAGCCACGATAGGTAAGGAATGGTGTCCCTAGCTTCTGTTTGTCGGAGGGTGGAGATGGATGGCAGGAGAGAGATCACTTGATCATTACCTGTTAGGTTCACTCCCTCTGGGGCACCTGGCATTGGCCACTGTCGGTAGACAGGATACTGGGTTAGATGGACCATTGGTCTAACCCAGTACGGCCATTCTTATGTTCTTATGTCCAATATAGGACATCAATGACTGAAGCATTATCAAGTTGTAGGACGATTCTCCCATGTGGTAGAGTTGGCAATGTAGAAAGACCATACTTCATCTACCGCTCTGTGATGGATTATTTTCTCACTGCTTTTTCTTTATTGCATGGTCACAGTGAAGGTCACAGGAAAAGCAGTACCAAGTCCTGTCATGTATCCAGGAAACCCAATGCATCTGCCCTGTGTCTTAGCAGGCAATTCTCCCTATAAAAGGGGACTTCCTCCACCATCTTATGGCTGGCTGAAGGCGGGAAGGCCAGAATGTTTGAGACACTGGATTCTTGCTGCACCAGTTTAGCACACTGACGTAGTAACACTGGTGCAAGCCCCTAATGACATCGATGCACGTGCTGACACAAAATGGAGGTTACAGACCTGTAACTGGAGATTCATTGAGATCTGTGTTCCCTGTAAGCTGTGCGCTTGGGCGGCCACGCAGCAGAGATTTAAGTGCCGCCAAGCTGATTAGCTGGGCGTGCACAGCCGGCAGTCTGTGATCAGGTGCCCCTCCCCCCATGTTGCTCTGTCCTGCAGCTGCTCTTGAGACCTTCCTGCTGGCTGTGCAGAGTGGGGGGTGGAGGGATGGGGAGGGAGGGGGTGCTAATGTCAGGGTGTCCCCTTTCCCCACCCCTGTACCCCATCTCCACAGAGCAAGGCAGAGTGGACAGCCTGGCTCATGGGGACTCAGAGCTACTGAGGTCTGAACGGTGAGTGACTGAGTGCCCTTCTTAAAGAGAGACAGTGCACTGTCTGAGATTTCCCCAGCAACCAACTCTCTCAGTCTCTCTCTCACCCCCTCCCCATGTACCCCATCTCCGCAGAGTGGGGGAGGGGAGATAACAGGGCTTGGGACAGAGGAGGAGAGCTTTCAGTGAGTGTCTTAAAGAGACAGCGCATGGCGTACCTCAGAAACTTCCCCAGCAGCCAGCACACACCCTGTCTGTGTCTGTCTGTCTGTCGGTCTCTCTCTCTCTCTCACACACAGTCTCTTTCACACTCACCTCCCAACACATACTTGTATTTATTGTTATTACTTCTTGTTACTTCCTGCAATGCACATATATTCTCTGTAATTTTATTCTTTCAAGGTGTGTTATCTTAGTGTTTTGACTGGTCGCTGCATTTCATAATTTTTATTTCTCTTACACTTACCGGTAAATTTATTTCTTTGAGTAGTGAGTGCTAAAATACCTAACCTGTCCTGGCTGGAGTAATTATCCCTATGGTAACTTTTAAAAAATATATATTACATCTAGGTTTTTTGTTTCTACTGGTGGTGCACATCCCTCGGTGCACATAACAAAATTTATTCTGCACATGGATGGAAAAAATTAGAGGGAACATTGATTGAGATGTGTGGTCTCTACCTATATTCCACATGTGAGTACCCACATGCATCATGTGCCTGAGATCAGAGATTTCTAGCAAGTAGTGTCCATTGGTCCACGCTTGTGCAGCTGTTCTCCTTTCTTACCGCAAATCAGAAGAATTCAAAGCAGAGGGGATGGAGGGCGAGTAGTGGAATACAGATAGGGACCACACATCTCAAAAGAACCTCCAGTTACAGGTCAGCAACCTCCATTTCTTCTTTGAGTGCTGGTCCCTATGTGTATTCCACATTTGGGTGATTGATAAGGAGGGGGTGGTGAGGATGCAGTTGGTATAGATACTTGTAATACTGAAGTCTTAACAGCTGCATCTGCAGAGAAGGCTTGAACTAAAACATAAAATGTTTCATGAATGTAGGGATGGAGCTTCAAGTAGTCGCTCTACAGCCCCGGAGCTCCCACGGAAAAAAATAGTGGGTGCTCAGCACCCACCAGCCATCTGCCCATCAGCTGTTCAGCAGCGGTCAGGAGGTGCTGGGGGAAGTGGGAGGAGCAGAGGCAGGAAGAGGCAGAGCGAGGGCAGGGCACGCTGGGGAAGGGGGTGGGAAGAGGCAAGGCAGGGTGAGTCCTTGGGGGGGGGATGAAGTGGGGGCAGCAAGAGGCAGGCAAGGGTGGGGCCTTGGGTGAAGGGGTGGAGTGGGGGTGGGGCACCTATCCAGACAGAAGAAAGTTGGCACCTGTGATCAGAATAGGTACCTCTCAGAGAGAGATGCTGCTGAAGTGGCTTGTGCTCTAGCGGAATGGGCTCTCACCCCAGCCAGGGGAGGAATACACACTAATTGGTAACAGAATGATGCAACTGGAGATCCACTTAGATAGTCTCCAAGCAGATAATACCTGTCCTCACAACCACTCCGCTACAGCAACAATTAACCCTGGGGATTTTCTATCCATTTTGTCCTTTGCAGGTAGAACGCCAGAGCTCATCTGACAACCAGCGAGTGAAGTCTCCTTTCCTCACTGGAAACAGGAGGTTTGGGGAAGAATACTGGTAAGTCAATAGATTGATTTATGTGTAACTCGGAAATTATTTTTGGGATGAATTGCAGGTGAAGGGAAACCTCCTTATGAAAAATAGTGTAAGACAGATGAGCCATGAGTGTTTTTGGTTCACTCTCCTACTAGCATAACTATTCAGAATTTTGATTTGCAAATAAAAATGTTTAATTGCCAAAGGTCGAGAATGGGTCTCCATCCTCCGTTTTTCTTGGGGACTAGGAAGCATGGGCAATAAAAAAAGTTTCCCATGGTGTTGAGGTGGCATTTGTTCTATGGCTCCTCATTAGAGGAGAGAATCTGCCTCCTGACAGAAAGTCTACTTGAAAAGTCCAAGATCTTCAAGTAATTGGCAGTGGTCCCTGAAAAGGAGCCAAGAGCTCTCTAGAGTCTCTGCAGTAGAGGATTTCTAGTACCCACTTGTCTGGTGTAATTGCCCTCCAGTTGTGTATGAAGACTGAAGTAGCCACCAAAGATTGGGGGGACAGTAGTGATGACACCAATAGGTGTAGGCAGTGCCTGCTCATCACCTAGATGGTGGATGGGTTGAGTAGTTGCAGTTCTGGTAGAATCTGGTAGCATCTAGGCCTCTGCACCCTCTGGCTTGTGTATGGTGGGTCGAATGAGCGCTGGTGCAGAATGGTTGAGGAGGCAGTCTTGGCTTGTATATCTGTTTATGAGGTTTTCTGTTCATGACTGGGATGTAAATGTGCAGGGAGCGGAGGGTTGTTCTAGAGTCTTTCAAGGAGCATTGAGACTTGTCAGTTTTCTTGTTAAATAAATTAGATCAATCAAAATGCATGTCCTCTGCAGTGTTCTGAACCTTCCTGGGCAGGGCTGTCCTTAGGCATACGCAGCATACACGGCTGCGTAGGGCACCCAAAAATTTGGGGCACCACCGGGACAGCAGGTAAGAGCAGGTCGGCTCCCGCACACCCAGCACATGCTGCAGTCTCCTTAGGCAGGGGCCGTATTCACAGAGCCGAATGTGCCAGCACCGGGCATTCTGCGTGAGGGAGAGGGTACGGGAGTCTCTGTGGGGAACTGTGACTCTCCGCCGCCATGAGGTGGGCCAGGCAGCTCGGTAGCCTTTGCTGCCTCCCCCACCTCCACCCCCGGCCTGCGAGCCAGGGCTGCTGCAGCATCTGCTGCGTACAAAGCTCGGTGTGTGTCAGCAATGGTGGTGGGGTTATTCTGGGGCTCCGCAGGCGGGATGGTGGCTGTGACCCAAGTTGGGCATAGGGGCACCAGTTTAATAATACTGCATAGGGCCCCATAAATCCAAAGGATGGCCCTGTTCCTGGGGAACCCCAAGGTGTGCAGCCACGATTATGCCCGTGGCTACCCCTTTAGATGCAGTGTCAACTGCACCCACTGCAGCTTGATGGAAGGTTTTGGCCACCAGTCTGCTTTCCTCAATAAAGGCCTGGAATTGGGTCCTGTCCTCTTTATGGTTTTTGTCCTTGAAGTCCAAGATCTTCAAGTAATTGTTGAAATCATATTTTGCTAAAAAGTCTTGGTAGTTAGCAACATGGAACTGAGGACTTGTAAAAGAAACACCTTCCTCCCTAGAAGGACAAATTGTTCAGAGCCTTTGTCTGCCAGTGTAGCCTTGAGGTGTTGTGACCTAGATCTTTCTTGCACCACCAACGGAGCTGGGTGCTCAGTGTGTGAAGACGACCTCCGCTCCTTTGGCTGGTACAAAATGGTGCCTCTCAGCCTTTTCAGCGTGGAGGTGCAGGCAGCCAGAGTGTGCCAAACTACCCTCATTGGTTCCATGATGCCCTTACTTACTGGAAGGATCACTCTACTGGGCCATAAGGTTGTAAAATTTTAAGGAATCATTGTTGAGTATCTTGCACCTCTTCTAGTGGAATCTGGAGGTCATTCACCACTCTGCAGAAGTCTGTAGTCAACAGGTGGTGATGGCAAAGATGGGGCAATTGCCTCATCTGCTGAGGACGAAGACACACCCATGTGTGCCGGTGGGACCTGCAGATCCAGTTCAATCTCTTCTCCCTCATACTCCGATGGAGCCATCAGGTGTTGCATGGGAGAGGTGTGGTGGGACTGACAGATGGAACTGGAATGTCTGCCATATGGATCCCATGGGCCCCAACATAAAAGATCGACTGGTTGAGGGGAACCCCACAGCATTGGGTACCTTCCGTCCCTTGAATAGTCATATGTAGGTGGAGGACAGATCCCTGATTTTCTTGCGTCCCTGTTTGGAGTCACCGCCCTATCTGGGGGTGAAGGAACTTTTGGAGCCTCCAAAGAGAAAGTTGGTTCCAGCTCAACAGGCAGTGCCATTAGTACTAGTGGCTGAAAGTTCCAGCCTATGGAATGAAGAAAGAAACATTCCCCTCTTTTCGAGGTAGTTCCTTCTCCATGTCATAATGTCTCTGGTCAGACCCGAAAGAAGAGGAGATTAAGGATAAGGTAGGGTGAAGTTATCCTCTGGTGAGGTGAAAGTTTCAGTTTGTCCCAGAGTCCATGATGTGAAAGTAGTCGTGAACGATAGATCTTGTGCATCCACAATCATTGTGGATGGCAGGTCTTTACAGTGATGGGTCGGTACCATCGAAGAGTCTACTTGGAAGCTCTTAGATGGTGTAAGTATATGCCAATCCTTAGGCTTAAGAATCAGAGCTGAAATTGGTTCCATCAGAACTCTTCTCTTTCAATCCTTGCCCACATCTGAGGACTCACCCGACTTGGATGCAGACCTGGAAGGAGATCTGTCCTTATGCTTACAGGAGCACCCCTTACTCTCATCAGAAGTCCTAGATGATGACTTCTTAGGCTTACAGCTCTGGCTTCTGCTCCCTATCTCGTGCTCGGAGGCATGCTGCTCGTCAGTTGAGGCTGATGTATGGAGGAGTCTCCGTGGCCTGGATCAGACTGAGGTCTCATAGCCTTCTCCATAGGATGTTTTCTTAGCCGCAGCTCTTGTGCCTCACAGGTTTGAGGGGGAAATGAACAGCAAATATTGCCCTTAGCTGAGATATGCACTTCTCCCAGACAACAGACGCAGTGTGGATGCTCATGGCTCACAGAGAAGGAATAGGCACAGGAGACACAGTTCTTAAACCTTGGATTCTGGGCCTAATCTTTGTCCATAGGGAGTGACTCCATGAGGCAGGGAGAAACTAAGGGTTGGTCTACACTACAAAGTTAGGTCCCTTAACTACATCACTCAGGGGTGTGAAAAATTTCACACTCTGCAATGTAATTAAGCTGACCTAAGCCCCATATAGATTCCTCTAGGTTGATGGAAGATGGTTACCGCATCTCAGAGAGGTGAATTTACTACTGAGATGGAAGAACTCCCCTGTCACTGTAGTAAGGATCTGCACTGCAGCTGTGCTGCTGTAGTGTTTTTAGTGTAGACATACCCTAACTATACTATATATTTACAGGTTTGAAGCAGAAGTCCGGAGAAATCTGTGGACATAGAGGATTCTGACTCAGGCCACATGGCAGTAAGAAGGAACTGAAGAGGCATAAATCCCACCAACACTTATACCCTTAGTTCAGAGCACAAGAACTACTAAACAGGCACGGACCAACGGACACTACTTGCTAGAAATCTCAGGCGCATGGTGTGTGTGTGTACCCACTTGTGGAATACACATGTAAGGAGCAGCACTTGAAGAAGTGGGTATTACGCCAGTCCTGCTCCCTTTGGTAAATTACTGGATTGAGCTGCTGCAATACAGAAGCCCAGCGGTGCCAACTGGCAAAGGATTCACTACTCTGTCGGCAACTCCTATCAGGCCTGACAAACTCACTACTGTTAACACATTGCTTTCATGGTATTTATCTATAAATAATGACTTGTAAGGTATCAAATGAAAGCTGGTGACACACTGGCCATAAGTGATGAAAGCTGTACATACAGATGGTGTGTAAGCAGTTATGTGTACCTACTAAAATATGTTTTAAACTATTTAAAAAGGTAAAGTTGACAAACAGGTTTTCTGCCAGACAAACTATCTATATCCATTCACCTATCCCTGTCTCTGATGTAAATTAAGCATTGTAAGCCAAACACATAGTAGCTACATTTGCATTCCAAGTCAACATGAGGCTGAGAAGTCCCCATGAGGGTCGGCACACTGAAGAACAAATGGAGGGCGTTTCCAACTTTTACTGGTCTGTAACTGGGGGTCAAGACAGATATTTTGGTTGTCCATCACCGAGGGAGCAAAAAGGACAGCGCCTTTTGCATTCATGAATGGTGGATCCTAGCCATGTAGGTTGGTGAAACTAGGTAGAAGCTTTAGGTGAGACACTTTAGGTGAGACCTTGCTTTAGACAAGGATTTCAGCCCGTTAAAGGTAAACGTAGGCTCTAAGGACCGTGTTATACCTTTTGTTTTACATGTAACCATTTCTGTTTCCATTATCCTTTCTCAGTATCTCTTAAATCTTTATCTCTGACAATAAACTTACAGTTGTTTCACTATAAATACATCTGTGTGCTATGGTGTCCTACAAACCCTGATCCTAAGCTGTACCAACGAAGCCGTGTATATATACTGTTCCTTTGGGAATAGCAAATCTGGTAATTACTGAGAGCATCCAGTGACAGGGGCTGATGCTCAGAGGAGCTCAGGGACTGGGGTACATCCAGTGTTAACTTGCAAGGCAAAGCAGGGGCTGGTAGAGGCCTGAGGAATTTGTTTGGGTGACTAACAGACTGGGGGTGTCAGGGACCTGACACAGTGTTTAGCACAAACAAGTCTCTCTCTCACGGAGGCAAGGGGGGGTAACAATGACTCTCAGCTCTGGATACCCCAAAAAAGAATCGCAGCTATTTCTGCACCAATGCTGGATGTCTGCCACAGCACAATGACATCAGTGTAGTTCCAAGGGGACAGATTTCCTAAATGTAGACAGGTCCTTGGAAGCTACTACAAGGGCAAGGCAATCTGTATCAACAGACTCTGCCTAGCTAGTCTTTACCTGTCCTGACATGTAGCTGTATAAATGCTTCACCAACCTACCTGACGCTCTCAGCTCCAATACAAGACTCAGACGTACAATGGAAGAGCAGCCCACAAGGGACAAATCTCCTGTAGGGCTACTTAAAACAAAAACAACCCAGTGAATATATGAACAGACCACACACAGAGATCAGCCCTTCTAATAAGCTGAACACAGGTATCTGAGGAAAAGCTGCTGACAGAGCCAATTTCTATCATGTCAAGGGACTCAATTTAAACACAAAAGATTGTTGTTGTTTTTTTAACAGAAGATTATTATTTACAATATTTCAAGCTGTATAATCCCCAACCCAGCAGAGGAAGCTATCTGCTTTTTATTATCTGGACAGATTCGACCGAGACAGCTTAATGAAATTCACATGTGCTGGTCCAACACAATCCAGACTCCTCCATTCAGGAACACAAGATTCCTCCTGGGACAGCCATGGGAGATATACTAGTTCTTCCCTATGGTTTTAACCTGACACTGACTGGCTGGGCTCCAAAGACTGACATTTGGAGATTCATGGTCACTTGTACTACAAACATTTGCTTCCTACTTAGGAAAATGCCAAGTTTTTTTTTTTTTTAAATTACCTCCTTTGCACAGATGCAAAACCATTAAAAATATCATCTGAAAATTCCAAAATAAAATAAATAGTTCCTCTAAGAATAACCTATTGCAATATTAGGATGTCTTTAGTAACCCATAACTTTATTCCAAGCAAACTGTGCAGGAAATGAGAAAGTAGGACTGAAGGAAAGTCAGTGAATAAGACAGTGGCATGCTTGGAAGGATATTTTCAGATAAGTTTCAATATAACTTGAAGTCCTTCACACCAACTGCAGTCCCAGCTCCCCTGATGAGGGCTTCCTAATATTATCATCACAGTGCAGGAAGTTTACTTCAATCTGTAGTGATTCTTCCCAAACGAGCAGCTTTCAGATGCCTTATTAATTTTTCTTTGTGTGCATAAATTGTTTAGAAGACTGAGAGTTTAATTATCTTTAAAAACAACAATAACAATGAAACAAGTTTGAAGTTCTTCAAAAATAACAGAGTTTTCTTTTAAGGTAAATCAAGGCACAGACTCTGAAATTTCACAGTCCTTTTCCAACAGCGGCAATCCCTCATGATTTGGGCAGGAGACACCAAATTTTCCCATCATTCCACCAGATATGAGGACTTGTTATAGCCCATACGGCTAACCTGCCTTGGGGGGGAGGGATAGCTCAGTGGTTTGAGCATTGGCCTGATAAAACCCAGGGTTGTGAGCTCAATCCTTGAGGGAGCCATTTAGGAATCTGGGGCAAAAATCTGTCTGGAGATTGGTCCTGCTTTGAGCAGGGGGTTGGGACTAGATGACCTCCTGAGGTCCCTTCCAACCCTGATATTCTATTATCTTCATTGCCTTGCCTTCATTATATTCTGCCTATATTCAGCAGTAAATATAAGGAACCTACAAGCCTGTATCCTGTAAGACATTGGCTTCAGCAGTTAGCATAAGACTTGAGGCCTAGGAACTTTGGCACAGATCAATGACCTAATGGTCACCCCTAAATTTTGGGGAACTGAAACTAAGAGTGAGAGGGGGAATTTTGTCCATAATGACATCAGCCAACCACAGGAACATGAACTAACACCAGCTTTTGGATAGAACGTCCACAAATATCTGACCACAAGAGTGCCATGGCAACGGATTGACCTACATGATAATAAGTTGAGATCATTAATATGCTAACCTATAAGAGAATGACACGCCAACTTTGGTAGGTGAGGAAATACAAATAAGGAAGAGGGGAGAAACCCCACTGCATTAGACATAGTGGCGTTAGTGTAACATATTATAAAAGCTGTATCCCAGCCTGTGTGTGGGAGGAGAGAGAGAGATGTAGCCCTTGGGAGGTGCCAGAATAATGGCCACTGGTGATGATGAGGAAGGTGATGGTGATGAGGAAGATGATGGCTAACATTTCAGGTTGTTCTGCAAGGGATGATGTGAATATATGGATATTCAGATGTACATTCTGTATTCTCTCTATCTACCTCAGTTAGAGTGTTTGTGACTGTGCTAAATGTATTAATAAATTATTGTAAATGTAGAAGAGTTCTGCCTGCCCGCCTAGCCAGTGGGATGGCTTGAAGTTAACAGCTAAAACAACATGAGTAAATGGGTTTTAGTTCCCTGCACGTTATCGAACTGTTCTACGGTGGTGGAGCAGAAATTGTGTGACGAGAGGCTGCTAAAAATGTCAAGTGCTAGGCTAACATGGAAAAGGACAACCCTAGCTGTGGGTACTTACAATTGTAGGTCGCTGGCAAGGGAAGAAATGTTAAACCATCTGACGGCGGAGAAGAAAAGGATAAGATGCGATAGCCTTGGTGTCAGCAAAACCCGACGAAAGAAGGAGTTGGAAGTCAACTGGAAGGATAGAAGCACTGTGAGGCTCAGAAAGGGAGATGGAACTAGAAATGTTGGAGGAGTCGGATTTATCATCAGTAAGGATTGGTCTTTGAAAGTCATACCATGCCAGCTAATATCATCATGTATTGGTGTGTTGCATCTTCAGATGGAGTCAAAAGCTACCCTTAAGGTCATCCAGGCCTACACTCCCACAAGTGCAAGTGAGGACGAAGAAGTGGAAGAATTCTACTGAGAGCTTGAAAGAGCCCTCACGCAAAAGTCCACTTACACTGTCACACTGGGAGATTTTAATGCCAAGGTTGGGCGAGGGAAAGCTGGTGAAAAGTTCATAGGGAGATATGGCAGTAGCAAAAGGAATGAAAGAGGAGAAAGGCTCGTTTCTGCCATCGCTACTAAAGAACTGTACGTGGCAAACACCTGGTACAAAAAGACCACAACAAGGTGGACGTGGATCGTGCCAAACGTGAAGAGCAAGAATGAAATCGACTATATTTTAGTCGATAACAGGCGCATCATTCAAGACGTCTCTGTGGTGCAGCCTTTCAACACCAGCAGTGACCATCACCTGCTTAGAGCGAAGTTGATTTTCGACAAAGCGGTGGAAAAGAAGGCGTTACAGATGGCAAAAAGGAAACAGCGGCCGAAGACATTCGATGAAGCAAAGCTGAAGAAAGTGATTTCTGGGTTTGACTGGACCCAGACGGAAAAGTGTGATGAGGACTATAGCATCTTTGCTGACAAGCTGAGACGTTGCATAAAAGCGGCTGAAATTGGAAAGCTGAAGTAGGCGAAGGGAAGAATCTCGAATGAAACGAAAAAGCTTGTTGGAGAAGCGGAGAAACATGAAAAGGAGCTCAGATAACAACCTCAAGTACTCCATTCTGTGCAAGCTTATACGGCGAAAACTGAAGGATGACTTTGAGAACTTCCGGAAAGAAAAGCTCCTCAAAACAGCTGAATTATGCAAGAGCCTCAAGACATGCAAGCAGGAACTGACACAGTATAGACTGAGCGTAACAGCATTGAAGAACAAGGACGGAGAGAGAGTAATCGACACAGCAGGGATGGAGAAGGTCTGCAAGGACTTCTATACAGAACTGTGCAAATCAAGAATCAACGTCCCTCTTCCAACGCTCCAAGAGTCACAAGAACGCATTCTCCCAATAATCGTCAGCGAAGTCTGAAGCGCACTACACCAGATGAAGAAGGGAAAAGCTCCAGGCAAAGCTGGAATAACGTCAGAAATTATTTCTGCAGGAGGCGAAAAACTTTGGAAGGCCCTCGCTTTAAGATTCAGTCAATATCTTGAAGGAGGAAAAATACCATCAAGCTGGAAGAAGTCGAATACCATCTTGTTGCACAAGAAGGGCAATTGAGAAAATCTTAAGAACTACCGCCCTATATGCCTGCTCTCTCACATCTACAAGCTCTTTACAAAGGTGATAACAAACCAACTCTCGCAGAGTCTGGATGAACAACAGCTGAGAGAGCAGGCAGGGTTTCGAAGAAATTTTAGCACGATTGACCATATATTTACCCTTAGTCAGCTCCTAGAAAGAGCGAGGGAATACAAACTCCTGCTGTGCATTGCTTTCGTCGACTGTGAAAAGGCCTTTGATAGCATCGAGTTTAACACATTATTAAAGGCGCTCACAGAGCAGGGCATTAAGACGCAGTACATCAGTTTGTTGCAGGAAGAGAATACTGGATGTACAACAGACATTACTCTCCTCAAAACTCCCCTCCGCATCCCAATCGAGAAAGGCATAAAGCAAGGAGATATGATTTCACTGAAATTATTCACCGCCTGCCTCAAAATGGTTATGAACAAGATCAATTGGAGGAGTGGTGTCAACATAAACGGAGAACGATTATCTCATCTCAGATTCACGGACAACATCGTACTAATTGCCGAAAGCACCAACCAACTGCAGAACATGCTACGAAGACTTGACAAGAAAAGCAGTCAGGTCGGCCTGAAAATGAAATACATGCGATCAGACATCTTACAAAAAGCCCAAATAACGATAACAGGAGAAGAAATCGAAGAAGTGGAAC